ATCCCAGCTACTCGGGAGGCTGAGGCAGAGGATTGCTTGAATGCTTAAGGCGCAAGTTGCACTAAACCGAGATTGTGCCACTGCACTCCAGCCTGAGTGACAGAAAGAGACTCAGTCTCCAAAAAAAAAAAAAAAAGTCTCAGGTTAGCTGAGGGCGGTAGCTCACGCCTGTAATTCCAGCACTTTGGCTGAGGTGGGCGGATCGCCTGAGGTCAGGAGTTCGAGACCAGCCTGGCCGACATCGTCATCTCTACTAAATGCAAAAAAATTAGCCAGGCATGGTGGTGTATGCCTGTAATCCCAGCTACTTGGCAGGAGAATCACTGGAACCCGGGAGGTGGAGATTGCAATGAGTTGAGATGGCTCCATTGCACTCCAGCCTGGGCAACAAAGCAGGACTCCGTCTCAAAACCAAACCAAACCAAACAATCTCAGGCTCTCTGCTCAAAGGACCAGGAGGCTGGAAGGTTATAAAAGCTGAAATTTGGGCTGGGCGCGGTGGCTCACGCCTGTAATCCCAGCACTTTGGGAGGCGGAGACAGGTGGATCACCTGAGGTCAGGAGTTCGAGACCAGCCTGGCCAACAAGGTGAAACCCTGTCTCTAAAACAAAAACAAAAACAAAAGCTGAAATTTGAAAATAATTGTTATTCTATTATTTCCATGTGTGAGCAGCCATATAGTATATTATTACAAATACACAAGACCTTTTACACGCAAGGCTAAAGGCAAACACCCTCTGAGGTAACCCTAGCTCAGCTCACGGAGCAAGCCCTGCCTGAAAAGGCTGCACCTTCAGCTGTCATTCTACAAAATCAGCCAGCGTTTGGCCTTCTGTCACTCAGGGCCCTAGGGGCCGGGAGTCTTAAACCTTATCCAATCAGCGACGCTGCCCTGGGAACCGTCCAATCAGGCACGCAGCTGGAGCGGAAAGGGCGGCTTCGGGGATGTGGCGGCGGCTTTGTCTGTTGCTGCAGCCGGAGTTGCGGGTCTCGTCTTCGCTGTTATGTGTCCCCTGTTAGTAGAGGCCCAGTCTCGGTGGCTTTCTGACCTGTTGGTACTGGAGATCCACAGCTAAGAAGCCAGGATCCCCTGGAAACCTAGAAATGATGTGAGTGCTGGATCCAACCTCCGGAGAGAAGGGAAGGGTCTTGTTGGAACCGGTGGGAAGTGGCTGCGGCGGAATCAGGCCTCCCCGTAGTCATCTCCACAATCTGTGGCCCGAGTTCTCCTTGCCCAGCTCAGCCTCAGTCCCCTTCAGCAATAAGATGGCGTCTGCTCAGTGACGGTGCCCTGGCCTGGAGCCTTCTCTGGGCAGATCTGCAGCCGCAGCGTAGCTTGTCTTCCAGATTGTCTCTCCCAGGGACCACGGTGGGGGGGGCGGGGAGAATCCTGACTCTGGGTGCGGGGTCATGAATGAAAAGATCTTTGGTTTGGTTTATGGGGTTCTCAATTTCTCTTTTTTTTTTTTTTTTTTTCTATTAAAAATTTATTGTATTTATTGTTTTTTTTTTTTTTATGACTGGGTGATTTCG